GATAAATCAGAAGCTTAGGATGAACATACACACACTACTATATATAAGATAGATAACCAACAAGGACATACTGTATAGCCCAGGGAACTCTACTCAGTATTCTGTGATAACCTATAAGAGAAAAGAATCTAAAAAAGAATGAATATATGTATATGTATAACTGAATCATTTTGCTGTACACCTGAAACTAACACAACATTGTAAATCAACTATACTCCAGTAAAATTAAAATTTTTTTAAATTAAAATAAAATAAAAAGTTGGACTTTACGGTGCTAGAGACAGCTGTCTGCTTCATTACTAACTAGTCATCCAAACTTGAACAATTTACTTAGACTCTCTCTCCAAGCCTCAGTCTTCTCATCTATAAAATAGGGATGATAGGATGCTATAAAGATTAAATGATATGATTGACTAGACTACCCAGTGCTCACTGGGCTCACTGTGAATAGCGAGACCTGCTTTTACTGGAGTTGTATGTTTTTTGAATATAGGTGCATGTATTAGTTAGCTCGGGCTGCCCTGACAAAATGCCACAGACTGGGTGGCTTAAACAACAGAAATTTATTTCTCACAGTTCTGGAGGCTGGAAGTCTAAAATCGAGATGCCAGCTGGGTTGGTTTCTCCTGAGGCCTTCCTCCCTGGTTTGCAGGTGGCTGCCTTCTCGCTGTGTCCTCACATGGCCTTTCCTCTGTGCCTGTGTATCCCTGGCATCTCTCTCTCTCTCTTCTCACCATTTGTATTACATTAGGGTCCCACCGTTATGACTTCATTGAACTTTAATTATCTTCTTAAAGGTCACATCTCCAAATCCAGTCATATTGGAGGTTACACCTTCAACATACAAATTTTAGGGGGGGCATAATTCAACCCATAACAAGGCCAGAAGTCAGACTGCAGTAGATTAAAAAGAGAACAGGAGGTAGGAAATGGACCCAGTGGATACAGTCAACTTTTCTGAGACATTTGACAGTGCAGGAGAGGAGAGAAAAATATTATTTTTATCATTGTTATTTCTGTCAGTATCGAGAGAGAGTTTGGCAAAGTAGAAAAAACATAAGGTTCGGCATCAAAGACTTGGGTATAAATTCTACCTCTGTCTTTTCTCCTGTGTAACACCTGGTCACTCATTTCTTCACCACTGCGAGACTCAGATTCCCCATATGTAAAAAAATGGATAATTCTACCTCATTGCGGAGTTATTGTGAGGATTAGAGTTATATCAATAGAGCACCTAGCCCATCTCCTGGCATATAATGAACTTAATAAATGTTAAGCACTCTATTTAAAAAACCCCAGAGTGCATGCTTTTAAATGGTGGCTGAGTCACACTGTGAAGTTCCCAGTCCTATGAGGAATCATGCTGTGCTCTCCACAGAGCTTGCCTCCCAAATCAGCATCTTGATTCGGTTAGGTGATGTTGCTTTTATAACTTATCATATGCTGGTGGTTGGGGATGATTTCAGGTGTGTTTTTAGAGCTTGTCAGCCTTCTAGAAATAGAAACAGCCCTTTGGCAGGTAGGAGTCATTAAGAAGTAAGGTATCAGTCAGCTAGGAAAACAAGAGTCTGCAGGCAGACTCATCAAGTGTGGTGCTTTGAATACTGAACGTGATGCTCATCCTACCACACATGCTTAACTCAATTACACTGACCCTTCAGCCCTGGTTCTTCTGTCTCAGTCTCATCATCTGCAAGTCTGAGCCAGCTGGAGGAAGAAACCTTGTTGGTAGTGTGGTTTTGACTGCTCTGTTGTTACAAAGGCTGAGAAGTTAATGTGCTATTTTGTTTCTTTCCAGTGGAAAGGTCATTAGGTTTAAAGGAGGTTATACTATGATTGAAAGATTGCTCAGATAATCTGATTAAAATTTCCTCTACTTTTGCCCATGCTGTGTTTCTCAGAACAATGCATAAGGAATACTGTGATTTCAAAGAAAGCATTCAAGGTCCACCAACTGTCCACAAACCCCAGTTTGAGAAATAATTTTCTAGAGGGCAGCTAACGTTCAGGGGGCTCCAAGGGGATTGAAACTTCAGCGGCAACATCATTTGTTAATTGATTCACTTATTCATCCATCCCCCAAATAATTTTTGAGGAACTCTGGGGTATTAGACTCTATGTTAGGTCCAGAGGATATACAGATCTGTTAAGACATTGCTCCTGTCCTCATGGCACTCACAATGAAGAAGACAGACGTGAACAGATCATAAATGTAATGAGTGTTTTTTTTTTTTCGTTTTAACATCTTTATTGGAGTATAATTGCTTTACAATGGTATGTTAGTTTCAGCTTTACAACAAAATGAATCAGTTATATATATACATATGTTCCCATATCTCTTCCCCATTGCGTCTCCCTCCCTCCCACCTTCCCAATCCCACCCCTCCAGGTGGTCACAAAGCACTGAGCTGATCTCCCTATGCTATGTGGCTGCTTCCCACTAGCTATCTACCTTACGTTTGGTAGTGTATCTATGTCCATGCCTCTCTCTCGCTTTGTCACAGTTTACCCTTCCCCCTCCGCATATCCTCAAGTCCATTCTCTAGTAAGTCTGTGTCTTTATTCCTGTTTTACATGCTATATGAGAGATAGGTAAGATGTGAGAACTCTGACCAGGGACGCATCAGTTCTGCATGGTGGAATAATTGGAAAGCCTTCAGAAAGAAGGCAGTAATATTTAAATGGGATTATAAAAGATATATGTATTTTAATTGGAGGAAAAAGGAAAGAGGAATATTTTTTGTTTTGTTTTGTTTTGTTTTTCTTTTTGTGGTACGCAGGCCTCTCACTGTTGTGGCCTCGCCCGTTGCGGAGCACAGGCTCCAGACCCGCAGGCTCAGTGGCCATGGCTCACAGGCTCAGTCGCTCCGCGGCATGTGGGATCTTCCCGGACCAGGGCACGAACCCATGTCCCCTGCATCGGCAGGCGGACTCTCAACCACTGCGCCACCAGGGAAGCCCCAGAGGAATATTTTAAGTTGAGGAAATTATACTGTAAATGATTCAAAAGATGCTTTCATCAAGACATTTTCAAGAAAGCAGAGTCTTTCCATCTGTTATTGTCTATTTATATTAGGTCTATTCCGTGGCATGTATTTCTGCATTGACAACTGCAATAACTTCAACACAGTCCAATGCACTGGATCAACAGAAATTTTATGGAGGACCATCTTCCTACATCCTCTCAAGCTCAGGACCCAGAGTAGAATCAACCCATCCAATCCAGAGAACAAAAAAGAAAATTCAAAAAACCCCATTTTAGCTTTTTAAATTTTCCCCATAAAACCCAGCCTGAGGTCAGTTTGTTAATGCCTAGCTGCCTTTTCTCAGCTACTTTTAGCCCTGTGCAAATTCTTTAGGTACACACTGCACTTAGTTCCTCATCAATTTTATCCTTGTCAGCTCAGACTTTATTTGTGGCCTGCCCATCTTTTCATAGACTTTTATTATTCTTATCCCCCCATCACTATTCTGCAGCTTTTTCATATCATTGTTCCAAAATAAACTATTATAATATGAAAAGTACAAAACAAATATTTGCTTTTATCTCCTCTTCCTCACTTTGACAAACACAACCTTTCCAAGTATTTATTTCATTGCCATTAGTGGTCTTTTGTAAACTGCTTGAGGGCAGTAATTAAGACACACCAAGATTAGGGTTCCACTGACTTTCTTTTCCCTGATAAGTGAGAGCTCTGGCTCAGAGTGTCAGGGCAGTAAGTAGGCACAGATGTTAATGAGAGGCAGCATCATTAATTATCAAGAATTATGTGACTTTTGTAGTCAAAAATGTCTAAATTTCCAACTAACACATGAGCCATGGAATCAGGAGTGTGTGGCCCTGAGACCAGTTGATGAGAAGATGTTCTGAGTCTCAGCTGTCTGAGTTGGGAATCTGTAGCTAAGAGTAAGGGATATAATGGAGAGAAGCCATGGCTTCAGTACTGGCCCTGGATGTGAGGAGTTCTTTAGTTGAGGTGTGGACTGGACCATGGCAGGAAGAATCTCTTAGGTCTCTATTGGGCCCCACTGCAAAGCAGCTGAAATTACTTAAGGATGCTATACTTTGAGACCTGGGCACCCAGATCCTAATATATCCCAATACCTCCCGACTTGCATTCTATAGGACCCTAGGGCACAGATGAAGATGTTAGCAGAGGTTACTTGTGGGGAAAAAGAGTTCAGTGGACAAATACCATTTGGGGTCAAGGGGTTAAACAAAGTTAAACAGAATTCTTTGTTGCAAATCCTCTCAAAACCTTTATATTCCAGTGTTTTGCTCCCAAACTACATTAAACTTTACAGAATTTACCAAATTTACATGGACACAACAGTCTTTTTTTGTGTAGAGCAACTCTGAGAAATTATAGTGTAAATATAATTCACAAAGCAAAGTATAATATTTCAGCATTTATCCGTAGCTATGGATTCCCTTGGCTGCAAAGTAGGGTGTAGCCAGAAGTTCCCTGGGCTCCAGTCCATCCAGTGTGCACCTATATGAAGACTGGGTTTATGCCAGTCAAATTGAGTACTTTACTCATTTCAGCACCTGATCTCTCTGCTTTATTTGTAGCCCCAGGCAAAATATTTTATTTTAATGGAATCTTCAGAGTGTATTTAGCAGAGTCCTATCTCACAGTTGCATGATACAAGGGTGGTACAGACTGCTATCAAACTAAAATTCCATTTTTATAACTAGTGCTTGATATATACACACATTTGAAGTGTTAAAATTTTCCATGATTTTTACACTTTCAAACTGTACTGTAAAAATGTTGATAGTGTGGTGTCTGATGACTAGAAAATTTGAAAAAATATTATGTAGTATTAGCTGAATACTGCATACTCTGGGAAATGTAAAGACTGTTATTAGCAGTGTGAGAATCCTTCCCCTGGAAAAATCAGACATGCAATAAACATTTCCTTCCGTTTTCCTATGTTGCTGTGTATACACATTGGTGAGCAGTGACCGTTCTTAAAACTTTGGTTTTCCTCCACAGACAGCGTGGAAGATGAACTGGAGATGGCCACCGTCAGGCATCGGCCTGAGGCTCTCGAGCTTCTGGAAGCCCAGAGCAAATTTACCAAGAAGGAGCTCCAGATTCTTTACAGAGGATTTAAGAATGTAAGAACTTTCTTTTTGACTTTACCTTCACACAGTTCTCAGAGGAGCACTGAGAAACGAGAGGGAAAAGGGAAAATGTGCAGTTCCCTGAGAGCCCCATCCTATGTACGCTTCTTATAGATCTTTCCTAGATATGAGAATTGTTGATATCCATTTGGGCTTTGGTTCACTTTGGTACACCATTGCTTGTCCAATCAAACAAGGATGAGTACAGAAGAAAGGTTTACTTTTTTCAGTTTCTAGTTGGGGTTTTTTTTTTTTTTCCTTTTCGGTTATATCGACATCATTTCAATAAGCTCTAATAGTCTATAGGACTAATTGACTATCGATTGGAGCCTATCAAGAAACTCCACTCCTAGCATTGCAGAAAAGTCGTGATAAGTTTGATAATTTCTAAAAGAGCATGTTACCCATGACTCTGAACAACAGGTATCTGTAGGTAGTCCCTCCTTTCGGTTCTCTGTGATCCAGGTGCACCTATCATGCTCCTTCCTGAGTGAATCATCATCAAGAAGAGTGACAGTCCTTGCACACCAGAGGGTGACAGTGAGAGACAAGGAGTGGGCTGGGCAATCTGTCAGGCACACACTCTTAGTGATGCCTTGGTATATGCTCAGGATTAAGCTAGATACTGCAGGGTATTTGAAAGCCAGCTTCTGTCCTCAAGGAGCTAATGGTCTGAATAGGCAGAGAACACTCGCCCTCGTGAATTTATTTGAAAGTAATTCATCCTTAAAAGTATTAAATGGTCGTATATTAAGTGGTATACACAGCCCAAGATGTGTTATGTTCTTACACATATGTAAACCATAGTTACATATGCTACAGGTGTCCCTTGAGATCCTAGTGAATTGCTTCAATTCCTCCTCAAATCCAGCCCCTAACAGCCTCCATTCCATGGCCTGTAGGAATCTGTAGAGTCTGAAGATTTCTGCTAATTCCATCCTCTTGAAATCTGTCCACCTCAATGCTATCTGTCCAACCTCACGAAGATGAAAACCTCTGCCTCTTCTACGGTATCCACACAAAAATTTACTTACAGAAGTTGTAATGCTAGTTGCCTTTTCAGAATATTTTTATAAGGTCCCAACATGCATATTACACACAAACTTCCACCACCTCTCTGACTCCATGGGGTCTCTCTCTACCCCATTTCTGCTCTTCACTGCTCTCCCTGCCTGGGCTACCTAAATGTTTCCTTCCATTGCTCCTCTGAAGCCTGGTCCTCTTCTGACACCCAGGCATTTGTGGGGGTGGACTGGGTGGGGAGGAAGGAGATATAATGGAGATGGGTGCTTACCCCACACAGGTAGGACTCATATTACACATCAAGATGTGTAATCTATCAAGATGACACATACAAATAAACAGACCTAAAGAGAAAGGGACTTTGAAAATTAGGCTCAAGAATTCCTAGTCATGGGCTTCCCTGGTGGCGCAGTGGTTAAGAGTCCGATGCAGGGGACACGAGTTCGTGTCCCGGTCCGGGAAGATCCCACATGCCGCAGAGCGGCTGGGCCCGTGAGCCATGGCCGCTGAACCTGCAGCGTCCGGAGCCTGTGCTCCGCAGCAGGAGAGGCCACAACGGCGAGGGTCCCGCGCAAAAGAGAAAGGGACTTTGAAAATTAGGCTCAAGAATTCCTAGTCATGGGCTTCCCTGGTGGCGCAGTGGTTAAGAGTCCGATGCAGGGGACACGAGTTCGTGTCCCGGTCCGGGAAGATCCCACATGCCGCAGAGCGGCTGCGCCCGTGAGCCATGGCCGCTGAACCTGCAGCGTCCGGAGCCTGTGCTCCGCAGCAGGAGAGGACACAACGGCGAGGGTCCCGCGCACCGCAAAAAAAAAAAAAGAAAAGAAAAAAAAAAGAATTCTTAGTCATGCCTAGGCTGCAACAGAGAGGGGAAGCACTTAACAATGAAACAGCACTGACCTCTGACAGCAGCAAACCACTGAACAGTGAGGATGGGGAGGGAGAGGAAGCGAAAAAGACCAAGTCTTGTCTGAAAGTAAATGCTAAGAGAAGGCTCATTGTAGGATAGAATTTCAAAGGCATTCC